GACGGCACGTCTCTGCGGATGTTTTCGCCTGCGAAGCCGCCGCGGACTTCGCCGGCTTGCTGCAATCGCTGCGCTCCGTCTCTGCGGATTATGAGAAAGATTTTGCGCAAGGGACATCATCGCCAGCCGGACCACGGCCAACTGGATTTTCCGACGTCGTTTCTGTGTTGGATCCTCGTGATTCTCCCACCTCACCACTTCCTCTGAACCTCTCATACGAGTGCTCCGTGTGTCATCTGCGATTCGCCACGGTGCACGCCTTGGGTGGTCACAAATCGGTGCATAACGTCAAGAAGAGACCGCAAAGGAGCAATTTGCAACGAAGCTATCCGCGAAGCTATTCTGCTAACGCGCGCACGGCGGGAGATTCGAATCCTGGCAATCGACTTGAAGGGGACGTTGTGCTGCTAGTGGATGCTGCTACACGGCTCACGAACCAGGTTTCCCCAAGGGAGCGCGATTCAACCAGCCAGACGCATGACTCCACGTCAGGAATGAGCAACGCTCAGCCAGCGGATAGCTGGGATAATAAGGAAGGCAGCGAGCTTGTCAAAAACACGGGCAAACGAGCAGCACTGCTTGCGGAGATCCGAGGTCTGCTTCAGCTGAAGCGCCAACGGTCGTGCGGCCATGAAAAAGAGGAATCTCTGGGGTTCGGGGAGAGGGAAGTTTTTCTCGGTGCTGGCGGAGGCGAGGGCATCCTTGAGGCTCACAGCAGTGCTGCTGAAATGGACGTGGTTGACCTCTCGCTGCACTTATAAACTGCATACGGGAATCCCTTCACTTGTACAGGAATTGTATAATGGTCAACACCTCATACCGTATTAAGCTAAAGAGACTGTATACTTTTAGGCTAGGTTTTATTCCAGTACCCTCAGTGTTCTGCAATACATTGCAAGTATAATGAGTCTTTGTTATTAGTCGTTGAATACAAGAACAGTGCTGCACAAAAAAAAAAATTGGAGACCTACTCCTGAACTAATGTGCAACTATGTCAGAGAGTTAGGTTGCAGAACCAGGTTAGCAGGTTAGGCAGCTGAGTGCAACCTCGCTGCAGAAGTGTCAATACCCTACACAAGTCAATTAGTGGCGCCTCCAGCGATGCATCTATGTTCCATCAGTATGGCTTGTATCCTTGCAGTGATTGCTCATGGCCGCTGCCTCTCTTGTAGTAAACCTGATACCAATCCACAAACTTTTGCAGCCCCACTTCAAGATCCGTGGATGGGCTATACCTGCAAGACAAAAACAAGAAGCTTAATGTCAGGAAGCAGGCCAGCTATAAGCCAAAACAGACTTCGGAACTGCAAGAGTCTGGAGAGCAAGGGACGATGTGTGCTCCCTTCCACTCACCCTAGGTCATTCTTTGCCCTGGTCACATTGGCGTGCGTGAACATCACATCCCCAGTGCTTGGCATTTGGACAACCCTGCAGGAATCAGTGAGTCGGAATGTCAGATAAAAACATTGACAAGGAAATCCATACCAAAACTTGAACAGATGCGAAAACATGGATGGGGAAAAGGCACAAGAATCACTTACTCCCTAATGGCGTTGACCTTCAGGTGCTTCTCCAGGATGCTGACGAAGTCCCCCACCTTAACCGGCTGGGTGTTACCAAGATTGTACACCCGGAACTGAGCCTTTCGCCGCTTCCCCTTGCTGCCAACGCTCGGCAAGGCGGTGTCCAGAGAGGCCACGCAGCCCTTCACGACGTCGTCAATGAACGTGAAATCGCGAGCCAGCTCCTCTCCCTTGGGCCCACGGAAGATCTTGATGGGCTTGCCGGCCATGATGTTCCTTGTGAAGGAGAAGTACGCCATGTCTGGACGACCCCAAGGCCCGTACACCGTGAAGAATCGAAGAGCAGTGATGGAGAGGCCGTAGATGTGGTTGTAGGTGTGTCCCAGGACCTCATCCGCTTTCTGCATACAGTGACGAAACAGAATCAAAAGCGTTAGTGATATATTAATCACTGGCCATTCGCCACAAGCCTGGCTGAAATCACAAACGCTAATCAACTTGCAAACATTTCGTGCCCGAATCGGAAGCATCCAATACCTTAGTGGCGGCGTACAGGCTTGCTGGGCGATCAGTCCGATCTTCTTCGGAAAACGGCACTTTGGAGTTCAGGCCGTACACGCTGCTGGACGACGCGTAGACAACTGCCGGCTGTGGATCTGCTTTCTGTGACATCGAAACAAAGAGGCGTGAGTTGAGTGTCAACCGCAAGTAGGACAAGGACGAAGCAAAAAACAAGCGGCGAAATAGCCACCTTAATTTCTTCAAGGAGAGTGACGAAGCCGGCGACATTGCTCTGAACATACGCCAATGGGTTGTGAACGGCATAGCGCACACCGGCCTGCAATGAACACACAGAGGTTCAGCTTTGAACTTAAGATGTCAAGGTCGCTAGCGTTTCGGGCTGTCGCTTCGGATCCTACCTGTGCTGCTAGATGAAGGACGTGCGTGAATTTGACGATCTCAAAAAGCTTGGCCAGAAGACGCTGGTCGTTGATATCGCCCTCCACGATGAACCTGCGAAGGTTCATGCCGACGGATGTAAGTTCAGGCAATCACACAACGGACAACTCGGGAGTTGAAACGGAAAGCACGCTTACACTCCGTTAGTTAATAGACGCTCCTGTCTGGCGCGCTTCAAGGCAACAGGGTAGTAGCTATTGAAGTTGTCAATTCCAACAACGCCATCGCCTCTCCTCTTCAAAGCAAGCGACGTGTGCGAGCCAACGAATCCTGCTGCTCCCGTCACGAGCACCGCCATCCCGCTTCCTCGAGTACCCGCGGAAGATCTGACCTGATCTTCCCACACAGCTCCCCCCCATGTCGAGGCATCCATGTCGGAGAAAGCGTCTATTGTGCTTTGCCTTTGACCGCCATGTCTAGTGATTCCGAAAGCCCTGAAATAGAAGCGGCAATTGTACGTTAGAACTCCGTCCCCTCAAGCTTAGAGGGCGATAGCTGCTTATGCACAGAACTCACATGACTATAACGAAGACGACGATGCAAGCGGCCTGAATGATAGTCAAGCTCCTGGCGGTCCGCTGAATAAAGGAGTTACTTCGCAACTTCTCGAAATCTTCTACATTTGAGGCTGTCTTGGTCAGAGGCGTCGATGCGAGCAGCTTAGTCGCCATGACAGCGGATCCACCACCAAGGCAGAGGTAATCACCAGTGGAGGATCGAGTCGCAGGATGGCAACCTAGCGATCACTAGAATGAAGCTGACGCGTCGAACCGAGGAGCATGTAGTGACTGTTCAGCTTATTGCTCTTCTATGGCTTTTATGGTTGCATGCATGCTCCAGCCTCCAACTCAGTGTCATCAAGGCATTGTGTGGGGTGGGGTGGGGCAGAAGGGGCGCTTTTCTCGCAGTCGCCAGGCGCAGGGGCCAGTGTTCCTCGAGGTGCTGTTGGATTGGCTGGAACAGGTAACCAGACTGGCGGAGCGGAGCAACAAAAGCGGAATAGGCGGAGAATGTGCAGAGAATGGGGAAGCGCGCAACCACGAACTGGCGGAGCGGAGCAGGGGATGGCGGGGCGGCGGAACGCGGCTTGGGATGAGCTCGTGGCCAGGGGATGGTCCACCAATCCCGAGGTCACCCGTCCAAAACGCGCAGCGGGTTCCTTGTGCGCCAAAACATTTTGGCCTTCACAAAAATTTCTAGGAAACTCCAGGAGCCAAGCCCAAGGAACGGTGACGCGTCGCACGAGCAAACCTAGGGTGGACCTAGACACGATCCTTTGGGCCTTCGTGTCCGACCGATGAAAACGTCTTCATAATCGCACGGCTAATAGTAGCTCTCGGTGCTCGGTCGGCCACATCAAGGCGGGAACCTTGGGCAAATAATTAAGCTCCGTTGATCTTGAAAGTTTTCCATGAATCACTTGTTTGAACAGAGCCAGTACATGTATTTCACATAAACTCATATCGGAGCTCTAATGGTGAGTATATTTCGCTCGTTGTTCGTGCGACTTGCACCATGCACGACGACAGCTCCGAGAATTCGTCTCCGTACGATGCGAAAAAAACAAAATGTCGCGAGCCTCGCCACAAAAGAACCACCACCAACTAACGACATGACACACTATACGAGAAGCCTCGTTACACGCTTCAGAGGGTTCAATTGAACTTTCCATAATAGCGGTGCAAACAAAGGCAAGCAATAGACGTATCTACTGACCGAAGCATGGTCCGTCCGATTTGCTGCAGCACATCATCATCCAGCCGTCCGCGCATTGAAACAGACGTGGCATGGATGTCAATACCTCTGGCAGCCACTGTCAATCGAGGTTCCTCCTTCCCTGTGGAAATGAAACCCAACTCGCTCTTCCCAAGGCTCCTCTTGTTTCCTTTTGGCAGTCAAGTCCCAAGGCAAGCCAGACCACTCACACTTTCTCCCTCGATGCCGAACTTCATCCACTACGAAGACTAGCTCCTCTGCCCAGTTGGGGTTGACTCGCTTAGTGTCAGGACCTTCAACCTCGGTATTAGGAGGTCTGGTCGAGCCAGAAGCGGATTTCTCGTTATTGAGCGTTCCGTGTGGATTTCCATCTAGTTGGCCAGCCAATAAACCATGGAGGACGATGACGACTATTATCGAGGACCCATGCAGCTCGCAAATTCTAGGAATGGGCTCCAGCCAGTGCCAGCCAATCGCAGACGGTCATTCCCTCAGCCAAACCTTTCTCAGTCAAAACCTGCTCTTTCCGCGCCGACGGTTTCCGACGTGTCACCACGTAATCGCCCTCTCGGCAGCAGCAACACGTTCTCAGGCCGGCAATTAGACGGCGCCGAGGCTCGGCGCGCTTTAGGGAAGACAATGTCAGGCTACCGGCCGGGAGGCGGGGTACCTGGCGACGAGTCACAGGTAGGGTTACCACCGTCGCAAGGAGGTCCGCAGCGGGGATTTGTGCGACCACAGCGTGCGACTGGTAACCATCGCAGAGCGATGTCGTTCAGCGGTGGCCAGGCGTCGAGCTCCATGGAATTTTCGCCGGAGGCATTTTCCCGCGAAGGGTTTCAACAGACGCAGCAGAAACCGCATGCGATGCAGCAGCAACAGCAACAGCAGCAGCAGCAGCACGGACGATTACCGGTGCGCTCGGCCTCACAAGACGGCGACGGCAGCAGTCGGCCGTTAGTCGCCGGCAGCAGGTCCCCCCAAGGAGCTGTCGCGGCCGGCCCACGCCCCGTTGCTGTGCGTGTGCCCGCAATGCGCGGGGGAGCGGGCGGGGGAAGGGGGAGCTCCGCCGCCGCTTCCGCGATTTCCTATGGCGGCGCTAAAGTCGCGGAAGAGGAGGAGGAGGAGGATGGCGAGGGCGAATACGAGGAGGAGGAGAGTCCGCAGCGGGTGGGGCGGCAGGATTCCGTGCGGAGCTCCATCTCCGACACTAGCGCCGACCGCGGGACTTTGATGGGCGGAAGGGGCGGGCTACGACCGCAGCGGATGAAAAACGGGCCGGACGGGGGGAGTGCGTCCTTGCGCATGCCCCCGCGCCCTCCCGGCGCGAACCCCGCGCCCTATGGGGGGGCGAACCCGTCCGTCGACAGCCCGACGGCGCGCCAGCAGCACCGGCGAGGCGCGTCGTTCGACTCGCGCGTGGTTACGGAGTCGTTGAGTGGTCCGCCCTCATTTCCCTCCCCCTCCTCGTCCTCAGGCGCAGTTACGTCAGGGGGTTCCGCTTCCGCGCATGTGCTTTCGCAGTCGCGCTCGGCGAATCTGTCCTGCGCGCCGTTCCCAGGTGGTGCGCCGACCAGGGATCCGCGCGCCTCTGCGGGAAGCAGCGGCCTTGCGGGCAATGCGGGGCGCGGCGGCAGTAGCGATGGTAGCGGCGCCGTTAGCAGCGGTGCTAATAGTGCTGGAAGCGGTGCTGCTTTTAACGCGAATACCGGAGGCGGTGGCGGCATGAGGGGTCCGACCGGGTCGCAAGCAGGGTCGCAGGCAGGGTCGCAGGCTAGGTCGCATGGGTCGCAGGCAGGGTCGCAAGCTGGGTCGCGGCCGTGGCACCGGCGGTCGCTGTCGACGCCCGTGGAAGAGTTCGCGCCGCAACTCTCCTCGCCCATCACCAGGCCGATGCCGCCTGGAGCAGGGGGGGCAGGGAGGGCAGGCGTGGGCGTGGGGGCAGGGGGGTTGGGGGGGTTAGGGGGGGTCGGGCGAGTAGGGGGAGGGCCAGGAGCAGCGATATCCGGCCGCTCTCCGCCCCAGGCTCCAAGTTCCGGTATGGGCGTGAGCATGGGCATGGGCAGCGGCAGATTAGATGCGCGGGTAGCAGCAGGAGCAAGGGGGGAAACTCGCGGCGTTAGCAACGCCAGCTTCAGCGGCAGTGACGAGGAAGAGGAAGAGGACGATGATAGCAATGATAGCAATGAGCCGGTGGCAGCTCCAGCGAGGGTTGCGGGAAGGACCTCAGGCGCGAGCGGGACTGGTCGAGGTGCTGCCGCCGCCCCTGCTGCCTCCGCCGCTGCCCCAGCAGCGCGCGGAAGAGGGCGGGGCAGAGGCGTGGATGGGAGAGGAGAGATGGCGTTCCGGGGCGGGCGCGCGGGAATGGGCGGAATGGGGGGAATGGGGGGACGGGGGCGGGGACGCGCGCACCACCGCACGTTTTCGGAGTCTCAGATGGGTTTCCTGCACACCACTGATTTCAGCTCCATGCAGGATGACGCGGAAGGGGGGCACGCGGAGTGGGGTTCCGCCGCTGGCGCGCATGGGGGAATGCCAGGGGGAATAGGCGGAGGCAGGGGCGCGGCAGGGGGGAGAGTGCTCGGGGGAGCAGCGGGGAAATCGCGGTTCCTGAGCGTACAGGAGACGAGACGGGGGGAAAGTGCTCTTAGCAGGTTGGGAGGGGGTATTGGACGGAGTGTGAGGGAGATGCGTGATTATAACGAAGGTGGTAGTATGAGTGGTGCTGGTGGCGATGATTATGATGATGATGATGATGATGGGATGAGGGACAGGGTAGACGCGCTGTATGAAGACCTGGATAGGGTGAGACGGGGGGCAGGTGATGGGAGGAACGGGAGCGAGAGCCAGGAGGACGAGGAGGAGGGGGAGGGGAGGGGAGCACACGGGGAGAGGGGGCGGGGGTGGGAGCGCAGGAGAGGAGGGGGCAGCAGGGACGCGAGTCCTGGAAGCTTACGGTCGCGAGGCAGTGAGAGTGGGAGTGGGAGTGATGGGGAGCACAGCAGAGTGAGCTTCAGTGGGAGCGAGGAGGGCGAGAGGGAGAGGCGGAATAGCAATGGTAATGGCGTGCACAGGGAAGGGCCGGTGCCTGTGGCAACAGCGGCAAGAGGAGGAGGGGGAGGGAGAGGCGGGGGGGCGGCAGGAGGAATGGGAATGGGCAGCAGTGGGCGCGGAGGAGGCATGGGCAGGGGTGTGGGAGGAGGGAGAGCAGGTGGGAGCGGAACTGCAGCAGCAGGTATGGGTGGGGCGCCGAACCTGGGTGGTAGGGGCGGGAGAGGCCCGGGAGTGATTCGTGGCATGGCCAGTGGTATGCCACGGGGTGGCATGGGCGGCAGAGGGGGCATGGGCGGGCGGCACAGGCGCACGAGCTCGGAGTCACAGGCAGCATCGGCGTTCTACAGCGCGCCTGGAGATGACTTCTTCTGGAGCGGAGGGGGCGACACTGGCGGCCCCCCTGTGAGGCAGGGCGGGCAGCGGGGACTGGGGCAAGGGCAGGGGTCTGGGCAGGGGTCTGGGCAGGGGCAGGGGCAGCAACGGCAGGAGAGTGTGGGGTCAGGACGGAGTATGCAGAGAGGTGGGGCAGAGGCGGGGAGGGGAGGAGGCGACGTGGGGAGGGGGAGGATGCAGGGTGCAGGTGGGCGTGGTGGTGGTGCTGGTGCCGGTGCCAGTGGGAGGGGTGTGGTTGGGTCAAGTGGGAGAGGGCAGGGAGGGGTGGGGAGAGGTGCAGGGAGTGTTGGCAGGGGGGGTGGCGGCTCTGTGAGAGCCCAGCAGCAGCAGCAGCGACAGCAGCAGGGGCAGCCGGAGCAAGAGCAGGGGCAGGAGCAGGGGCAGTGGGGGGAACAAGCGGAGGAGTGTGAGCCGCCAGAGCTGCAGAGGGAGTTGACGTTCCGAGTGAACCTGGAGGAGCCGGTGGTTGAGAGAGAACCCGCACTGGAGCGCGAACTCACCTTCCGCATGGGGGCGACCTGATGCCCGCCTGATGATGGCTCATGGGGGGCACCTAGTGGATCAGAGTGAACCTGGAGCAGCCGGTGCTGGAGAGAGAACCCACCTTCCGCTTGGGCGCCAGATGATGGGGTAATGTCACCTAGGCAGGGAGCTCCGGTGGAACCTGATGGGGTCATGGCGGCACCTGATGGGGTCATGGCGGCACCTGATGAGGCCCACCTAGTGAGCTCCTGTCAGCGAAGCAGGGAGAGAGAGGGTGTGTGGCAGGTGATGCACACAACCGGTAATTCCTGTTTCTGATGCCCAGTGCCCACCCACCTGTTGTGCTGCTCATGCGCGTGTTTGAATGGCAGCCGATGTTTCATGCGGTTGTGACAGACAGTCTTGGCATGGGTACGGTAGTTTGTCTGTAGCGTAAGTATTTATGTAACCCGTGATGCAATTCAAGAGATTGTGGCACGACTTTCCGACAAGTGTGCAGTACAGTCATCATTGAGCATGCAATGGGCTGCTGCATGCTGTTTCTTTTTGGCATGGCGCCCGCCCCGTAGTGCTGCCCAATAGCTCAAGGAACACAAGAAGAGAACCCAACCCAAGAAAGGAAGAACCCAAAGGAAACTACCGTATTACCCCGGATAGTAGCGCATATGCGCTTATAATAAAATCAGTTTTTATAAGGGGGGCGCTTGTAATTGAGTAACGGGGATAAGCGCATGCGCTTATGAGACGGGAAAATGAAATTTATTTTTAAAGGCACCAAATCGAAGCTCTCCTTAAGGTGAACACAGCCGAACGTTCGTTCACGTGGGATCGTGCATGGAATTCAGGGAAAATCAACCGCGACTCGGTTTCCCACCACACATTCACGTCCAGAAGCAGCGCACCTGCCTTTGCTGACTCGCATCCTGCCGTGCGGCCCAATCGCATTGTCATGCGCCTCATGGCAGTCGATTCCACCCGAATCCTCTAGAAGGGGGTGGAATCTTTCCTGCCAGCGCTGACGCAAATCCTGCCGTGCGGTCCAATCACAGCAGGATGCGTTGCCATGCAGGCAAATTCCACCCGAATCCACTAGAAGGTGGTGGAATCTACCATGGCAACGCAGCGTCGTGCACGCCACGCAAGTTCCTCGACGAGTCTAGGCGGGGGTTTCCCGTCGGTCATCGACGAGGACCCCGTGGCGCCTTGGCGAAGGGGTCCCTCCCAAGTGCATTTCATTCCTCATTCTTGCTCGTTCTGATTCAGTTTTCCTTCCTCTCCCGCCGGGCTGCTTCAGCCATGGCGGAATTCACTGACACTCATTTTCTCTTCAAGAAGAAGCCTAGTAGGCCCGCGTTTACCGTTACCGCTGACGGATGGTACTGCCGTGCCCCACCATCGCCTCCCGACCCACCACATCCTCCTGCGCCTCCTGTTCCCCCTAATCCTCCCGTTCCTCCGTCGCCTCCCGCACCTCTTGCTCCTCCTGCTCCTCCTTTAGAAACCTTGGGCAACCGGCCCGTGCTCCAGCTTTGCCAGTATCTCCCGAAGGCCTTTAACGAGTGGCTGGAAGAACCTGTCTTGGACAAGCCTCAAGATGAGTCCACGGAGGCTCCCGCGTCGGCTCCACGCTGGGGCGAGCCAGAAGACTGCGCGTGGGATGAATCCGCCGTGGGCGCTGACGACGATGTGCATGCCGAGAGCACGGAGGGCGACAAGGGCGCCGAGGCTGACGACGAGACCGGCACAGAGGCTGGCACCGGGGCGGGCACCGGGGCGGGCACCGAGGCAGATGTGTATCCCGAGGGTGCCATGGGCGGCGACGACGACGACGGTGTCGAATACTGGTCGCGCGATGGCCTTCCTGAAAAGTTGCCGATACCGTCTTATCCACCGATTAACCGCAAGCGTCCCCACCCTTCTTCAAAGAACCGTGATGCCCGCCCCCCCTCTCCCAGGCACAAGATGTCGCAGCACAAGCGAAAGGGTTACACAGCTCAGGAAAAATTGAAGTGGCTCGCGCTGCTGGAGGTGGCGGTTTCCGTGCGCTCTCTATCTCGTGAGTCTGGCATCCATCGGAAGTGCTTGACACAGTGGAAGAAGGAGGAGGCCGCCGTGAAAGATGCTCACGGCGCACGGATGCGGATGCACGGTCGCGGCCGAGCGTCTTGGTACAGGCCTATGGAGCTAAAGGTCTATGCGAGGCTTCTGGAGTGGCGGCGCAAGGGATGCGCCGTCTCCGTTGGTCGTCTGCAGGAGTGGTCGAAGGAATTCATGAAGATTCTCTACCCCGACGTCAAGTGGAAGGGCAGTCAGAGGTGGTCGGACCGTTTTCGGCGCCGCTGGAATTTGAGCGTTCGCATGAAGACAAAGGTAGCACAAAAAACCGCCGAACGTAAGTGCCTCCCTTCGTTTTAGTAACTTTTATTACGCGTCTTCCTTGATGTTTTTACGGTTACCAGTGATTTAATATCCCTACCGCCTCTCCCCCCCCCCCCCCCCCCCCTCTCTACCTCTGATGTCGCGGAGCAGTGCACTAAGTTCTGGGAGTTCGTCCGCAACAACCGTCGTGAGCGCGGCATCGAAACGACGTGGATTATCAACGCCGACCAGACGCCGCTGTGGCTTGAGATGCCAGCCACCACCACCGTGGAACAAACGGGAGTTCGCTCGGTGCCCATCAGGAGCGCTGGTTACCAGAAGCAGCGCGTTACCGTGATGCTGGCGTGCACGGCTGACGGTCTGAAGCTGAAGCCATTGGTGTACTTCAAGCGCAAGACGGTCCCGAAGGGGGATTTCCCGCCAGGTAAGACAAGCTTGACATTTTACCTTGCTTTGTCATGCGACAGAGGCATGTTTAAGTTGGACCCTTTGTTGCGTGCGCAGATGTGGTGGTGGCTTGCCAAGACAACGGCTGGATGGACGCCGACGGCGTTCTGGCGTGGCTTGACGGGTGTATCAAGCCTTTCATAAGGCCCCGGTTCGGCAGGCAGGCGAAGAGCGCGATGCTCGTTCTGGATTCGTACCGCGGGCATCTCACGGACGAGGTGAAGGCGAAGCTTGCGGAGCTCAACATCGTCCCCGCGGTCATCCCGGCAGGCTGTACATCGGAGGTACAGCCTCTCGACGTGTCGGTCAACAAAAGTTTCAAGGCCTTCGTCCGCGAGCAGTACCAGACCTGGTTTGAGGAGGAAGGATTGGAAAGGCTGACAAAAGCAGGTATGGGCCGAATTGTTTTACGTCCACACGAGTCAAATTCTTCCCGTCTCTTTGTTGCGCTAATCTCCCCTCTGATCGTCATGTGGTGCAGGGAACCTCAAAAAGCCGCCTACAGAGGTGGTCCTCAGGTGGATCTCCCGGGCATGGAGGGCAGTCCCCGCAGATCTGATCAAGAAGGCGTTCCTCACATGCGGGATTAGCAACGCGCTAGACGGGAGCGAGGACAAGCTCGCCATGGCGCACAGAAGGGGCCAGCTGTCGCACGAGGTGGACGTAGACGACGACATCAGGACCGACGGATTCTGGGGCAACAACTGCCCGGAGCCAGAGTCAGACGAAGAGGAGTAGTGCTAACGGTAGAAATGCTAGAGTTGTACCGGTAGGTTCATGCTGGCAGGAGCTAGACTTGTTGCTACCATCTAAAAAGCGAGATTCAATCATATGAATGTTAGATTGAGTAGATTGACTGTGACAGTAGAATGTTTGTCGAAGAGATTATATAAAATACAAAAAAAAATATACAGAACTGAAGGGGGTGGCGCTTATAATAAGTACAGGATTCTCAAGGGGTGCGCTTCTAATCGAAGTGCCGCCATAGACGCATGGCTCCAGATAGAAGCGCCGGCGCCCTTAAACGGACGGCGCTTATATCCGGGGTGAAAGGAAGGAACCCAAGAAGAGAACCCAAGAAATCCAAGAAACTTGAAGGGACCCAAGAACGGAGGGTAACCCAAGGGAACCCAAGAGGGAAATCCAGAGTACGGTACCGTAACCCAAGGAAACCCAAGAAGAAAACTCATGGTACCAAAGGGAACCAAGAAGGGAACCCACGAGAGAACCAAAAGGAGCCCGTGTTCCCAAGTTCCTGGTAGGAATCGATTATGGCAACATAGCTCAATTGGTTAGAGTGCTCGACTCATATTTGAGAGGTTGTAGGTTCGATCCCTATGGTGAACACGGGGAGCATGGGGAGCATGCGTCCAAGTGAGCAGCTGGTCCAAGTGAGCAGCTGCCAATAGACCAAGTCAATTGGCAGGTAGGTCAATTGGCAGGTAGGTCAATTGGCAGGTAGGTCAATCGGCAGGTAGGTCAATGGGCAGGTAGGTCAATCGGCAGGTAGGTCAATCGGCAGGTAGGTCAATCGGCAGGTAGGTCAATCGGCAGGTAGGTCAATCGGCAGGTAGGTCAATCGGCAGGTAGGTCAATCGGCAGGTAGGTCAATCGGCAGGTAGGTCAATCGGCAGGTAGGTCAATCGGCAGGTAGGTCAATCGGCAGGTAGGTCAATCGGCAGGTAGGTCAATCGGCAGGTAGGTCAATCGGCAGGTAGGTCAATCGGCAGGTAGGTCTATTGGCAGCTAGGTCTATTGGCAGCTAGGTCTATTGGCAGCTAGGTCTATTGGCAGCTAGGTCTATTGGCAGCTAGGTCTATTGGCAGGTAGGTCTATTGGCAGGTAGGTCTATTGGCAGGTAGGTCTATCGGCAGGTAGGTCTATCGGCAGGTAGGTCTATCGGCAGGTAGGTCAATCGGCAGGTAGGTCAATCGGCAGGTAGGTCAATCGGCAGGTAGGTCAATCGGCAGGTAGGTCAATCGGCAGGTAGGTCAATCGGCAGGTAGGTCAATCGGCAGGTAGGTCAATCGGCAGGTAGGTCAATCGGCAGGTAGGTCAATCGGCAGGTAGGTCAATCGGCAGGTAGGTCAATCGGCAGGTAGGTCAATCGGCAGGTAGGTCAATCGGCAGGTAGGTCAATTGGCAGGTAGGTCAATTGGCAGGTAGGTCAATCGGCAGGTAGGTCAATCGGCAGGTAGGTCTATTGGCAGCTA